ATGACTCAGAGCTACAAGAACAAGTGAAAAGAACCAGAAACAATAAATAAGAAGGCCAGCATAATAAATTCTATCAATATACATTTTCTCTTCTCTCAGACTCTTTTTTTTTCTTTTATTATTCATATGTGCATACAAGGCTTGGGTCATTTCTCCCCTGCCCCCACCCCCTCCCTTACCACCCACTCCGCCCCCTCCCTCTCCCCCCCACCCCCTCAATACCCAGCAGAAACTATTTTGCCCTTATCTCTAATTTTGTTGTAGAGAGAGTATAAGCAATAATAGGAAGGAACAAGGGTTTTTGCTGGTTGAGATAAGGATAGCTATACAGGGAGTTGACTCACATTAATTTCCTGTGCGTGTGTGTTACCTTCTAGGTTAATTCTTTTTGATCTCACCTTTTCTCTAGTTCCTGGTCCCCTTCTCCTACTGGCCTCAGTTGCTTTAAAACATGTATACTTATACAAAATAATACTATACCAATGCATTGTTGTGTTTGCAATCTACAGAAATGTAACATGGATAGAAATCATATTGCAAAAGGAGAAAGGAATAGAGCCAAATAGGAGCAACATTCTGTATTTAACTCAAACTAAGTTAGTATGAATATGAAGTAGACACAGGTATGTTAAAATGTACATGGTAAGTCCTAGAACAACCACCCAGAAAATAACCATGAAAACAGGGGAAATCATTAAAGGAATTAAAATGTTACAAAAGAAAATATTCACTTAATGCAAAGAAAGCAATTAAGGAAGAAAAGAACAACAGAAAAAGCATGAGAGATGAAAAGTAAAATGGCAGACACGAATCCATTTATGTAACAGCATTAACTGTGAATGGATTAAAGAACACAATTAAAAGACAGACTGGACTGACTAGAAATGTAAGAGGTGGGGGAAATTTCCCAACTCATTTTATAAGCCAGTAACATTCTGACACCAAATTCAACGTCCTCACAAGAAGATAAAATTTCCCATCTTTTTTCTGAATATAGATGTAGAAGTCCTCTACCAAATACCAAACCCAATCCAGTAACATGTAAAAAGGATTGTATTACATGTTAAGTGGGATTTTCCCCCAAAATACAAGGTTGGTTTTATACCTGAAAATCACTTGCAGTAATAGATCTTACTATAGAGTAAAGGGTAAAAGCACATGCTCATCTTAATAAACACAAAAAAGTGTTTGACAAAATCCAACAGCCCATCTATGATAAGAATACTCAACAAACTAGGAAAGATGGGAGTTTTCTCAATCTTGCAATATGAGAATCCACAAAGAAATCCCTAGTTAACACTTAATGGTGAAAAACTGAATTCTTCCTGCTCAAGATTAGGAACAAGAAAAGGGTATTCTTCCTTCACATTTCTATACAATACTGTACTAGAACTTCTAGCCAGGAAATTAAGAAAACAAAAGATATTAAAGTCACATGAACTAAAAAAGAATCTATCTCTATTTCTAGATGACATTTTCTTCTATTTAGCAAATTCTAAGAAATCCATTAAAAATTTGTAAGAATAAGTTCAGTAAGATTTCAAAGTACAAGATCAACATACAAAAATCAGCTATATTTCTACACACTAGCAATGAGCAGTCCAAAATTAAAATTAATAAAATGATTCCATTTAAAATTATATCAAAAAAAGAAGAAAATGCTTAGGAATAGATTAAATTTTTAAGTATGAGATTTTATACTGAAAAGTATAAGACAGTGTTGAAAAATATTAAAGACCTAATGAACAGACAGATATCCCACGTTCATGAATCAGAAGATTTAATATTAAGATGGCAATAGTCCTCAAATAGTTTTACAAATTTAACACAATTTGTAACAAAATTCTAAGTAACTTTTTCTTTTGCAGAAGTTGACAAACTGATCCTAAAGTTTATATGGAAATTCGAGGTACCCAGTATAGCTAAAACAATCTTGAAAAGGAAAACAAGCCTGTAAGATTCATGTTTCCCAATTTCAAACTTATTGTAAAGTTTACAGTAATTAAGACAGTGTGGTACTGGCCTAAAGATGGACTTATTGATCCACAGACTAGAAATGAGAATGAAGAAATAAACCCTTACAATTACAGACAAATGGTTTTCTACAAGATTCTCAAGATAATTCAATGGGGAAAGGATTGGCTTTCAACAATTGTGTTAGGACAACTATATATCCACGTGGAGAAAAGAAAAAAGACGTTCAACCTTTACCTCGTATGCTACACAAAAATTAACTCAAAATGGATTACAGACCCAAATATAAGGACTTAAACTATCCAATTCTTAGAAGTATAAATCTCCTTGACTCTGCATTTATCCATGCTTTTTTGAAAATATGACACCAAAAGCACAAGCAACAGAAGAAAAAAATAGATCAACTGCACTTGATCAAGACTTAAAATGTTTGTGTCTTAAGGACATTATCAAGAAAGTGAAAACAGAAAACCCCCAAATAGGAGAAAACATATGATCATGTAACTGATAAAGGACTTATAGTCTGAATACATAAAGGACTCTTACACAACTCAACAATAACAAAAACAATAAAAAATGCACAAACAACTGGAATGGAGGATACAGAAATGGCCAATTCGTATATGAAAAGACACTAAACATTAATAGTCATAGGGAAATGAAATAAAAACAATGAGATATCACTTCATACCTAATAGGATGGCTATAATTCTTTAGGTGGAAAATAACAAGTGTTGGCTAAGATGTGGAGAGATTGGAGCCTTCACACATTACTGGGGGAGTATAAAATAGGGTAGCAACCACTGTGGAAAACAGTTTGCCAGTTCCTCAATAATTTAAGGATAGACTTATCATACAATCCAAAATTCCACCCCTGGATATATATTCAAAAGAACTGAAAACATGTGCCCAAACAAAAACTTGTAAAAAAAGTTCATAGAAGCACTATTCATAATAGTCAAAAGGCAGAAACCCAAATGTCCATCAACTGATTATTGATGAAGCATGGTATATCCATAAATGGGAAATTATTCAGTCATAAAAGTGAAGTTCTTATACATGCCATAATGTGGGTGAGTTTTCAAAACATGCTAAGTAAAGAAGGTGGGCACAAAAGGTCATAGATTATATGATTTCATTTATACTAAATGTCCAGAATAGGCAAATCCACAGAGACAAAAAGGATATTGAGGGAGAGGGATAAAGGAAAATGACGGAGGGGTTGAATTCAGCTACTATAAGAACTTTTGTAAATGTCACAATGTACCCCCAGTACAATAAAAATAAGATAATTAAAAAAACGTTAAAAAAAAAAGAAAGGAAAGGAAAGGACATTGAGGGCAGGGGAGAATGAAGAGCGACCAATAATAGGTATGGGGTGTCTTTGGGAGTGACTAAAAATGTAAACATTAAATGAGTAAACTGTACAGTATATAAATTACATCTCACTAGCTGTTTTTTTTAACCCACTTTAAAGAAAAAGAGAAAGTTCAAAAATACATAAAATATTAAAAAATTCAAAAATCACTTAATCTCATCCTGGCATTACCTAAACTGTTACTCAGTCAAAGGACTATTTTTTGGGTGCTCATGTGGAGTACTTTGTGGAAATCCTGACTCACTCCAGCATTTAGCCACTCTTTAGATTATAACTTATTAACAGAAACACTGCTGACAAAATCTTCCACGTATGGCTAACCTTCAAGAAACCAGTCATAAAATAAACAGGGGATTTTGAAAGAGAGGCCGAACATTAAAGGCACTGCAAACATTGACCTAAGCCATGTATTTTTGAAAGTGCATGTTAAGAATGACTTGGCATTTTGTGGTTTGCTTTATGAGGAGTATATTTTTTCAGCTATAAATCATGACTTTATTTCATGACCTATAATATATCTTCTCTCTTTCTCCTCTCTCTCTCTCTCTCTCTCCCTCCCTCTCCCTTCATCCCCCACCCAGGGTTAGCCCAGGATAACCTGGAACTCACAATCCTCCTGCCTCAGCCTTCTGAGTACTGAGATTATACATGTGTGCTACCATGCCTGGCTCTTATCTTCTTTTTAAAATAACTTATTGGGGCAAAATCACAGAACATAAAGCAAATATTTTGGATTGAACCCATGGCCTTGCACATTCTAGGCAAGCGCAAACACTCTACCACCCAGCTCCAAATCAGCCATTCACAACACTCCTGATGTTGTGTAACCACCACCATCACCTAGTTCCAAAACATTTCCATCACAGCACGTTTTAAAGAAGTGTTGTAAGGGTCCTTGGAATCTGCCTAAGGCTTTCTCTCATATGAAGAATGTATTAAAAAGGAAAATTCTGGCATGAAAGATAGGAATAGCTGAAATCTGTCAAAGGTATAAATACTTGAATTAAAAAAAACAAAAACAAAGTTATTTTCCAAAATAACTATGGGCCCTATGTCAGGCGGGCATACAAAAACACTTGTGTCAGACTGTAACTCCTTTCCTTTAAAGGGTAGACAGTAAATAAAGAGGTTTTGCAGGCCATATACATCTCTGTCATACATCATTTGCTATTGTTGTTAACATTCCTTTAAAACTGTAAAAACCATGTTTGGGCTGGGCCATGTAAAAACAGGCCTCTGGGCAGAACAACACACTAGCCTTTGCTTACTGACCTCTGGCTTAGGGCCCAGACATAATGCAAAAGAGTTGGAGAAATGAGTTTTGACCTAGACTTGTCCCCTCAGTCAAGCCTTCACCTATTTGGACTGGAACATTTGTAAGGCTCATTCATAATTCTGTGACTGCCTCCAGATTACCTAGCCATGCGTATCTCCTCCTGTTGCTAAGCACAAGCCATCTTTACTCAAGTGCCTTGGTAGCACCTCAGCCTCAGGTTTACATGTCCTGCTATTCTACGCCTGTCCCTTTCCCACCAGTTTCTTCTGACCACTCTCCCAAGTGAGAGGTGGCTGGAGAGGGGAGACAACCTATACCAACCATGTCTATCCACAAAGAAACAGAGAAATCAAGTAAAGTGAATCCACCAACCTGAGACAGCTCTCCCCTCTTCTTGCAGTTGATCCCTCCAATGAAGACCATGTTGGGCATGACTGGCCTGGGATGCTCCAACACAAAGTCATATCTTAACAGCCACACAGCGTTTTGATATAAGGTGGGTAAGCTCACATCTCTCTGTAGGATATCTGATGCAACATCTTCATACTTTGAATACAGACAATAAAATAGATAGCTCTCCAGGAAATTAGCAATGAAGTTGGCCACCCGTTGGGGGAAAGTCATGTGGTCTGAAAATGTCGTGTAACACCTGGGAATGTAGGACACAGGGTTTGGACTTTGGCCATATGCATGCTCCACGGAGCAGGGGAAGCCCCTGAAGAGGTACACAGAGGGCAGGCCTAAGTACTCAGCCAGGATCACACCGCAGGGTAAGGCAGGGTCTGTGAAAAGAGCATGGAACTTGCTCTCCTGGAGGAACTTCAGAGTGGCAGAGTCCTTCAGGAGGCTGTGGCAGTTGAAGAAGTACATGTCGATGACGATCATGTTGTTCCTATACTCTGTCTGTGCTGCAGTCAGGAGTGATCTCTGGTCAAAGTGGTGGTTCCCAAAGGAACGGTAACGGCTCTCCATCTCTTCCTGGTCATACGGCACTGGATAGATTTTCCTTTTGTAGTATTTGGATTCTTTCAAAAGCAAATTGATTTCTGGTACCACCACCACGATGTCATGCCCCCTCTCACCAAGACGCTCCACTATATCCTTCATACTAAGCCAGTGGCTTCCATCCTGAGGGACCACCAGGAGCTTGTCACCTACAACTGTGCCCAAAAGTGCTAAGAAGACAAGCCCTGCAGAAACTCTCTGAACAGCAGGACGAAGGTAAACCATCCTGGAGGGAGTTAAAGTAACAGTAGTGAATTGTTTGCGGCCCCTAAACCACAGGGTTCCTACCTATTTTCCCTAAACCAACCAATGATTTTTATAGAAGCTGCCTACCTCTCCCTTGCTGTAAATCTTACCCTTTGATATAAAAGAAGCTAAATTAATATTTAACCATATTTAAGTACACACTTAACTTGAGCCAACCAGGCCCTTAGCAGCCTTCCCTGGAGATTCTAGGTTTCTTTTTCCTCTTCATGTCCACCAATCTGCCTCTCCCTCTCCAAGGGTACTTCCCACAGTTAGAGAACAACTTGGAAAGAGTTCTGGGAGCCCCACCAGCCATCTGTCCTGAACTGTATTCTTCAACATGTCCAGGGAAGAATAACTGCCAATGTACATTCTTGCCAACTTTGCTCAGAACAGAAAGGAAGCATTAATTTAACATACTACAAATTCAGACTTCAAAACAATAGCACAGTGATACCTCCTCAATATTCTGGTCACCATTGTGATGGTGGGATGAAAAGGTGCAAGGCAGGAAGTCGTGGGTCCTGGAAGAGGGAGAAAGCATCTCTTCCACACTTCCCTTAGTGAAGCCAGTATGATTGCTGTTTTTTTTTTTTTCTTTTTTTATCACACACAGCCAAATTCATGTTTGGCTCTTAGAGCATATCTGTGCTCTAAGACTGCAGTTTCCAGTTCAGTGTGGGTAAGAGGCAGCCTGCCCCTTTCTAGCTAGGTGACATCCCAGCTCTGCATCTCATTGCTACACCTATGAAGTGGAGGTTGCATCAGTTACTCCCCACCCCCTGGGACTGATGCAAGAATTGAGTGAGTTAATCCTCGTGAGTGCTTGTGAGGACATGTTCTGCACAGGGGCTCTTTCAGGCTCTGTTGAGACAGCCAAGTTCTATGTGTTATGAACTAAGGGGTGCTGTAGTGGCCAAAAGTAGTTCCTGAATATACCCAAGGAACAAAAGATCTTGCTCTGCCCTTTAACTGAGAAAAGTGCAGGAAGACAGCAGTAACAAACAATATCATCAAAAACAGGTGGCTCTAGCAGCATAGAACAGCCTGAGTGGCCTAAGAAACAGAAATGCATTGTCTGGTAGCTCCAGAGGCTGGATGTCTGTGTGATCTCAGACAAGTCCTTCTTTCTAAGACTGTGGAGAAGAAATGTGCTCCAGGCCTCTTCCTTTGTTTCTGGTGGTTGCTGGCAAGCTGTGGTGCCTTGCCCTGACCTCTGCCTTCATCTCTACCTTCCTGTGTGATGTCTTAAAGTCCAAATTTCCCCATTTTTATAAGGACACCAGTCTTATGGGGTGAGGTCCTACTCTATGGTGGTCTTGACTAATCTTAACTAATTACATCTGCAATGACTGTCACATTCTGAGGCTCTGGTTTAAGACTTCAACATGCCTTTTGAAGGGACACGAATTGGCCCTTAATAGCCACCCACCATCTCATACAGTACAAACCCCGGAATGCAGGTATGACCGTCCTAAAGGGGAAACAGGCTTGCAGCCTGTAGAAAGGACATTTCTTATAACTATTGCAACTTCTTTTTTTTTTTTTATCCCTACAACTTCTGAAAGAAAAATAAAGTTGGCTACTTCTAGATCATCTGTTCTCAAACATTTTGGTCTCAGGACTCTTTACACTTATCAAAAGGCAAAAAGAAAAAAAAAGACAATAAATTTAACAAATTTAATTGGCTCTTATAAAACAAGTTTTATAAGAATAAAACAGAATGAGTATTGCCATGAGCAGAGGGATTGGTTTTATAGACAGAGGAGGCCAAGGAAAGCAAAACAACAAAACTGGCTTGGTTGTTTCAAAGTTACTTTCCTTCTTAAAGATTAAATCACAGGAAACTCCTTTCTTAACCTTGCCCAAACTAGCTTTAGGGTGGCATGGGCTACTATCATCTCCCACTCTCCTGGGTTCTCAGGAGGTGGTATGGAACTTCACCATGGGCATCTCCATTTTGCTTTGACTAGTCGGACCCAGGGCCCAGCAAAACAAAGGGCCTCCTGTACTTTTTTTGGAGACAGTCTCTTGCTATTTGCTCAGGCTAGCCTTTAACTCATTATCTTCTGCCTCACCCTCTCCAGCGCTGGGGTTATCTGCATGCATCACCATGCCTGGCTCCTCCTGCACCTTCACAATCTTCCCAAGAATTGAGGATTCCCCAAAAGCTTTTGTTCCTGTGGGTTATTTTTAATCTAAATGAACTATTCTAGAAATTAAAACTGACAATTTTTTTAAATGTTAACATCCTAGTTAACATGTATATAACAAGAATAAACCCATTAGGTTAAAAGAAATTACTTTTTTGCGAAAAAAAATTATATTTTCCAAACTAAATAGAACTTAGAAGAGTGATAGTGTTTCACATGTTCGCGAGTCCGTTTAATATCTGTCCTCATAGATGACAAACAGACTCCTATTTCCTTCTTCATTCAATCTGGCGCAATGCACCAATGTTGCTTCTGGAAAATTCTACCCTCAGGAGAGGAGGAGCATGGAAGAAGCAAACAAATGTCTTAGTGCTATTATGAAAATAGTTTGACCTCACATGCTTCCTAAAAGGGACTCAGATTCCCACAGGATCTTCCTAGAACACACTTTGAGAACCTCTGTTTTAGGTAAGGGGTTGGAAAATATTTTTTTCTGTAAAGGTCCAAATACACATATTTTTTGTTTTGCATGCCATCTGATGTCTTTGGTCATGATTCAGCTCTGCCTTTGTAGCAGGAGAGCAAGCACAGACAATCCCCAACAAATAGCATGGCTAGGCTCCAGTGAAAACAGGCCACAGATTAGATTTGGCCAATAGCCTGTAGTTTCCCAACCCTGCTCTCACTGATGACAGCAACCAAGATGTCAACGCTACCCCAGTCCACATGGCCTGATCCTGACCTTCATCTCATTGGTCAATGGGGTATCAGAAAGACCCTCCCCTATGAGCTAGACCATCACTCTAAAGTTCCTTCCCTCCCTTTTCTTCACTACCCACCCTATTGTTTACTTATTGTGTATCTACTCCAACTAACATGCCCTTAAGAGCAGGGACAATGTTTGTTTTGTTCTCTCCTTATTTTCAGTGTCCAAAATAATGCCTAGCATACAGTAGTATCTCAATAAATGTTTGTTGAATGAATTAACCAGCTTTTGGTTTATCTACACTTTATTCAGGGAAAGCTGTACTGGGGTTTGAAATCAAGGCCTTGTGCTTGCTAGGCAGGCACTCTACTGCTTGAGGCACTCCTCTAGCCCTTTTTGCATTGGTTATTTTGAGATAGGGTCTCACTTTATTCCCAGGCAAGTATGGACATGATCTTCCTACTTGTGCTTCCCCGAATAGCTGGGACAACAGGTGGGTGTCATGCAGCCCAGCCATTGGGTGATATGAGGTCTTCTCAACTTTTAGCCTGGGCTGGTCTCCAGCTGCAATCCTTCTGCTCCCCATTTCCTGAGCAGCTAGGATTACAGTCATGGGCCACAGCACCCAGTCTTGCCTGTTTTATTCTCACATTTTATTTTTATTCAAAGAGAGAGGACTCAATCACAAAATAGGGATATGTAAAGAACTGACAAGAAGTTGGCCACTAAGTATATAACACATACATAAGGAAATTACAGCCCCCTTTGCCTTATATACTCTTCTTCAACACACAATACATTTGTGACCAGATATGCAAAGACGTTCTCCCACACTGACCATTCTCCAACCCCAACAGGATTTCCATAATCTCATTTTCACAATAATCAGAGTTGACAAAGACCATACAGGTTATGGCTCAGTCCCACAAGACTGCCTCCACTTGAGACTCTCAGAACTCTTTATGACTTGGCCACAAACCAGAGAATTCTCTGCCCCCCCTGTTTTCAATATTTGTTAGAATGGCTTACACAACAAAGGAGAGCAGTTTACTTACTCAGTAATGGCTTATTACAAAGGATGTTACAAAGGGTACAAATGAACAGCCAGGAGAAGAAGCACAAAGGGCAAACCATGGGGAAAGGGGAATGGAACTTCCTTGCATGTACAGGTCACCCCACCCTCCACACCTTCAGCAACCTGGAAGTTCTCCAAATCCTTCCTTCTGAGTTTGCACATAGGCTTCATTATGCTATATAGATAATGCCTGATTAAATCATGGCTACCAGTGATCAACTGAACCTTTAGCCTCTTTCTCCTCTGCTCTCTCTAATCTCAAGGTTGGCTCCCTGGCACCCAGCTCCCATACTGGGAGCTTTACAAAAGTTACACCATCACACAAAGTCAGATGTAGTTAAAGGGTCTTCTTACAAATAACAACTCAGCCCACTTTGGACCTCAGGAAATTACAAGGGTTTTGGAGTTCTGGCCAGAAAATGGGAAAAAGCCAAAATGTGTATTTATTATTATAGATAACAAAATCACACACACAATCTGTTTCTTGCCTTTAGGAAATTAAGATTCGAGAAGTGTGAGCCTAGTCAGCACCTGGTAAGACCTTTGGAGTGGGCGTCAGAAAGCCTGGTGTCTGCTTCCGGTCCAGACACCATCAGCGAGTGGAGCAATTCATGTCCTGAGTACGTTTCTCAACAAATATCCAGATGGGAGGTCAGGTTTGCTCTCATCACAGTGCTGAGGGAGGGCCAGAGGATGATGGATGTGGAAAGCAGACTGTCCCTCTGAGAGGAGATTTCTAGAATGAACAGAACAGACTCTCCCACAGCTAGTCACGCACACCAGAAATGGCATGCGAGGGCATGTTCTAACCCACACCATACACTATATCTGGGGAAAGGAGAGAAATCCCAGAGGCCAGAATTGAATGGGGCCATCAAAAGTGCAGGGCCGTCCCCAGAAACATAGCGAAGATGCATGCTCATTGTCCAAGGCAGGCAAAGACTCAGCTCAGGGCAAGCTGGGGGCAGCGCCCCAGGGGAAGATTGTAAGTTTCCCTGTTTACAATCATCAGAGACCGGAGGGCACCAGCATCCTGCTTTGGCTTCATCTATAGCAGAGACCCCAGGAAGCTTACAAATAAGTACAATGCAGGTCTACACTGCTGAAGCAGTTTCCACAGAGATTACTGCAGAATGCATTGGTTGGCCCGGGAAAATATACCAGTGGACAGAGGGAAGTAGATCTTGGGATGAAACTAATCTCTGTGGATGGAGGACACCTGGCTTTGGGGGTAGAAAGGAGATCTAAAGGTGTGCAAGGGGCAATTTCATGCAAGGAGCAGAGGGCTGTCTGGAAAGACTGACCATGTGGAGTGCTAATTCTTCAAGATCCTTGAACTATCCACAAGTCATGAGTGATGGGACCAGGACGACAAGATGTCAAAGGACCTTAAAATTTTGACACTTGAAAAAGGAAAGATGCTGAATGCTGAATCTAGAATACTAAAATGATAAAATGAAATTCATTATTGCTTAATGATACTTATGAAAGTATAACTATATGACATCCACTGTGGTTCAGCTTATCTAATTACATAGGCAGCACAGGTGATGTGTGATGTGTGGGCAATTTACTCTACTTGAGAGGCTGGGAACTGTAGAAGTCAGAGTGCGCTGGCCCAGGTCTTGGAACAGGTCAAAATGGTCAAGTCTGAACCACACATAATGAGCCTGGATAGTACAGGGACATCTCTAGTAGGCAACTGTCCTACTCAAGCTGTTATGCCTAACACTTCCTTGAGGCTTGCAGCCAACATGGCTGGTGGTCCCATGAGCCTAAAGCAGTGAGGAGTGGCACAGGAAACTAAGGAAGCCAAAGCAAAAGGACTACTCAGAAGAGACATAAACTAGAAACTACACTCACATGTGTTTACTGAAGACAGCCTGGGAAGCAGGGTGGCAGAGAGAGGCATGCCAGAGTTTCAAATATTAAAGAACTTGTGACATTTGCTTTGTCCTGCACCCATCTTCTTCTCTGTTGAGTACACTGTTCCCTTAACCCCTCCCCATGCTGGAGGGGGCCTGTGGTCAGTTCTCTTTGCAGCCTCTAGACTTCTTTCAGAGTATGTCTCATATTTTGTAACACACTAAAGTCTGCCCCTTCATTAGACAGCAAGTTTCTGCCCATAGCAATGCCATGTCCATGTGATCATGACCACATTCCCGGCACTCAACCAGGAACACAGAGGCTCTCAATAGGTACTGATTGAATGGAGGACCATTAATTCTAAATAAGGTGAAAGAGTCACTTTCATGTTATTCTGCCACCCAAGCCAACAAGACTTACTCATACTGCTGAAGGATTAGAGAAGAACCTCAAGCCACTCTAGACAAACTTCACTGCATGTGCCAACCTGAAAGGCCAACAGCTAGATGTTTCCAAGAAGTTATCTGTCTACACAGAAAGGCAGACAAATGACGGCATTATTTGGACTCCAAAGCTAGATTGAAGAAGGTCAGATCTATTGCTGTGTAACTGCCTCCCATCCCCTTCTCCAGAATTACAAGTGCCCTTGATTCTTGAATTCTTTCCAGCTGGACCTAGTAATAATTCT